CAGCCTGGCCTGCAAAGCATCATGGGGGAAATCTCTCTGTGTAGCATTACAATATTGTGCTACAAAAGGGGCTCATCAGCCGAAAGCCCACAGACATCGTGATCGGCCTGTATGAGCTGGTCTTCCTGCAGGCACCAGGAGACTTTCATTTAAAAAGATATCTTAGGTGTCCTTCAATAACGGAGGACCAACTGACAGCTCAGGAGGGAGCACAGTGGCCTTGGCATCCTGGATTGTGGATTCCAGTCCAGCCAGGGACGGACTAACTTCTCTGGGGGCCCTAGACTGTCATGGGTTGGGGGCCCCCTAAATGAGCCATTTGAGTTTTTTGGAGCTGAAGAAGAGGGAATTAAAAATGCTGCAGCATCAACAATATGCTAATCAAAGCACAGGGTGCCAGCACTGAAACTTACTGATCATGGTGGGGGCAGGAACGCTGCTGGTAAAACTCACTGATCGGGGGGAGGGGGCTTTGATCGGGCAAACTTAAGATATATTATATTATGATAGATTATAATGTTTTGACCAAAACTGCTATATAAATGGTTTGAAGTGAACATTTGATCTATATGTTTTGTTATGAATAAACGGTGGAGATCTGCAGGGGGCCCCCAGGGTTGTTCACCCCCTGCCCCCCCCCCTAAATTCCACCTCTGAGTCCCACCCCTGAACTGATTAGAATTTTAGTTAGTGAAACATGACCGATCATGGATGGATTGAGACAGCATAGGGCGGCGTCTGGGCTCTTTAAGTCTGACCTTCTTTGCAGTGTGGTCCTAAAGAGCTGGGGGGGGGGGGCAGCATATGTTGGGAATTAATGTCTCCTGCAGGTGTGATGAATCCTGACGAATGCAAGGGTGACGCATGGGGGAGCTGCCAGGGCTGCAAGGCTTGTGAAATAAGATAAGACGTCTTCATGGTAACAGCTACTAATCTTTTGCAAGCCTGTGACAGTGAGCGCCAAGTGCGCTGATGTGACCCAATCAGGGTGGCCGGATTGAGACTTCAGTCTTTGTTGTAACTAGTGGCTGGGGATGTACGTTGGTAATGAGGCAATTTTAATTGAGACTCAGCAGCCTAACAGATGGAAGCTGCCACTGATGCTGAGCAACAGGCAAGACAGACAAGCAAAGAGAGAGGCAGAGAGACAGACAGGCAAACAGACAATCAGACAGGCAGAGAGACAGACAGGCAAACAGATAATCAGATAGGCAGAGAGACAGACAGGCAATCAGACAGGCAGAGAGACAGACAGGCAAACAGACAGACAGGCAGAGACAGACATGCAATCAGACAGGCAGAGAGACAGACAGGCAAACAGACAATCAGACAGGCAGAGAGACAGACAGGCAAACAGACAATCAGACAGGCAAAGAGACAGACAGGCAATCAGACAGGCAAACAGACAGACAGGCAATCAGACAGACAGAGAGACAGACAGGCAGAGACAGACAGGCAAACAGACAATCAGACAGGCAGAGAGACAGACAGGCAAACAGACAATCAGATAGGCATGTAAAACTCCATGTAAAACAACAGCTATGTCCAAACACGGCCTTTCTTGTGTAGTTATAGATTTATTGAATTATGGACATAGAATCGTAGATTATATATGATTATATGTAGAAAGTGATGGATTACAGTATATTTTGTAGCTCTTTGTAAATCACTAACTGTAAGGAGTCAGCTGGCCAGTTGGTAGCACACACTGTATACACTGTATGTTGATTACACAAAAGTAGAATGAAATGAATGAAGATGGTAGCTAAGGAACAGGCATCACAGACAATAAGGAAAAGAGCCTCTGATGGGTATAAGCAGGGTTATCCCAGCCCAGAAAGAGTGACAAAGTCCCCAGTCACCCAGGCTGAGAGGAAGTGATGTCAAAGTTTCTTGTCACTTCTTGTCCAGCACCTCCTGACTCCTCTGTGTTCCTACTGGCTCCGCCTGGCTCTCCTTGGCATCTCCTGGCCCCTTATGGCTCCTCCTACCTTCTCCTGCCTCGCCATCATCTCCTCCATTAACTGGTTTTCAGCTCTCATCTCGGTGCTGTTGGCCAGCATCTCCGAGCCCGAAAGATAAGGGAAAAAACCACCGCAGGGCGTAGTCCATACACAGCCCGCATGAAATATTGATTTGACCCAGTAAAAGGATCCACTGTGGGCCAGGGTGGGGCTTCCTCTGTTTAATGTGCATAATTACCGACAGTCACTGGGGGCAGCGCATTACAGCACAGCAGCTGCAAACAAACAGGCTGTCCTCCTTTACGGAACAAAGACCACCCTGTCCCCCCTAACCACGTTTCCTGAGGCAGGTCTGTAAATAGAAGACAGAAAGCGACACCTCTGAGGAGCATTGAGGCTTCGTTATGGGCAGCTAGAAGTGTCAGGCCTGCCTGAGACACAGACTGCTTGCTGATGGGCTGGAAAGTCACGCAGCTCAGCTCATCCTACTGCAATGCTTGACCGTCTATCTGCTTATTGCTGGTGCCTGTTATACATTCTTTATAATATGGAAGGTCTTAACAGTCAGTTAAGGACTGCAAAAGAGATCAAAGTCAAAAACCAGGATACCTTGTCACACTCTAAAATCATTAACTAACAATAAAATTGAAGACTAGAAATGTGGAGAAATCTGAATGGATGAAAGATGGTGAAGAAGCTTCATACTCTGCTCGAGGATCATACTCTACTGAGTGTGTAAAAGAGTTAGAGATTTCATACTCTGCTCGAGGATCATACTCATACTGAGTGTGTAAAAGAGTTAGAGATTTCATACTCTGCTCGAGGATCATACTCATACTGAGTGCATAGCTCTAGTGACCAGCTTCAGACATCAGCTGCCCTGATCATTAGGTTCCAGTTTACCTTACAAATATTTGTCTAATCAAAGAAAGTGGGAGCTGTAACTCTGTCCGTCCCATTTGAGGATTTACTGTGGGTTTACTGGTGTTGATCTGATGAGAGGACTTTGTAGATCCTCCCGTCTCTGAGGCTGAAACTTCCTCATAACAGAAGAGGGTAGAGAAACATTACTCATAATTTCATTTTCATTTCTTTTCAGTCTCGGCAGACATCGTCCTTATCGATGCCAGGGAAAGAAATACGATAAAAAACAAAGATGTAAAAGAAAAGGCATTCAGGGTTCATAATGGGTATAATATAGCAAGATAAAATACAGAATCCTCTCATTTAATGAATAAAAGCTTGCACAGCAGAAGCTATTGACACACTTTTGTTAATTTGCCAGTTCCCAGAAAAACCGCAAATCCTTCTGAGTATGGAGACTGATGAGACAATCGAAATCATATTGGTAACTGACCTATGTGAGATTTTCAGACACCCACATCCCAAAACAGGGACATAAGATAACCTTCATCCCTCAGATTTAATGCGTCAGCATTCATCAGTGAATATCAGCATAGACATACAGTAGATACAGGCCTCTACTGTCCATACGGATAATTAAACATCATCATCATCATCATATTCATCCTGCTTCTCCAGGTGAGCACTCGGCAAGTCAGACTTCTTTCTCCACAGCCATAGATTCTCTGTCATTCTGGGGGATCCCAAGATGTTCCTAACACAACTAGGAGATATAATCCCTCTGGCACGTCTTGGATCTTCTCCAGGGCATCTGCCCATTGGGAAATGCCTGGAACGGAACCTTCAGAAGCTGACCAGATAGCATCCTTATGTGATGCCTGAACCCCCGGTGCAGGCTTGATCTGAAGGAGCAGTGGCTCTGTTTCAGAGTCCCTCTGGATCAACGTTGAGCAAAATGCAGAATTTATGAATTGGAATCTGAACTGAATTACATTAGGTTTCTGTCAGCCCTCTAAGTCCTTTTCCATGGGCACGTATCTATTGTTTTTGCATATTTACCTGTTAATGCATTTTATCATTTGTGAGGAGTCTGCAGTAGCTTTTGTGAGCGTCGGGGGGTTGTCACATGGATAGGGCTGTGATAGGGTTACTTGTATGACTATGAAATAGTCTTCCACCATGATGCACAAAATCACAGTTAAAATATTTATTCTTCAAATGTTGTTCATTGTTCAAATTTGTTCATTCTGAGTAACATTTACATAACTATACAGTATATGATGTGTATGTTAATATGTTTATGTGTAATTCATGTAGAAATATTATGCTGTATCATTACAGCAGCCCCTGTACTATGTGTATGAATTTATGGACATTCAATTCCATTTTAATTCTACTTCCTACATTTCAAATTCAAACTGCCATTCTGCATCCAGTTATAGCAATACAAATTCAATGAACTGAATTAGAATTTCAGAGCCGTTCTCAGTTCAGTTCTAAATGGAGCACAGCCCTGCTCTGGATCTCCGAATCTTCAGCCCTTAATGGGCTGCATATGCACCTGAGGGCTTTCTGACTCTAAGACTGCCTGGCTGATACCTTTCTATCAAATCAGTAGGGATGTGGACAGCTTGACTAAAGGCTCTGATAAGCCTATTCTGGGCAGGGTGCTCGGGTTCTCCTTGGTACCTTTCAGGGTTTCTTTGTCGGATTGTAGTCTGTCTGGCCTCCTCACACAGTCCTGTTTGCTGAGGGAAGTCCTACCAGGAGCTCGGGCTCTGTGCATGGTTACCGCAGGTCCTACCAGGAGCTCGGGCTCTGTGCATCGTTACCGCAGGTCCTACCAGGAGCTCGGGCTCTGTGCATCGTTACGGCAGGTCCTACCAGGAGCTCGGGCTCTGTGCCCACTTGGATGAGCATCAAAGCCTCTCAGGGCTCCTCTCATGCCCTGCTGAAATTTACGCAGGACTCGTGAGAACTTGAAAGTGCTTTCACCCTGTGCAGAACTTTCTGGAAGCTTCTGTTATGACTGTCATTCCGGGCCGTGTGCCCTCATTACTAACAGCAGCTCTGAATCCAGGAGAGCTTAAGGCCAACTTGTGCTTTTTACAGCTTTTTTACATGGTAATTAGTCATTACTTGGAGCCTGACAGAGTGCTTCCCAATTGATACTTTCCTTTGGTAAATATTTAATTGGCACTTTCCCAAAAGAACAAACATCCTTGCTTATACATGAAAAAGCATACATTTATATCAATTACATCACAAAAAAAGATTTCATTAAATGCCTTAAACCACACATTGGTCAGTTTAGTGACCATATCTGCCTGGTCTGTCATGGTGACACTTATGAAGTGATCCCTGCACAGTAATATCAGGACGTACTGTCACGAAAGCTCTCCATCCTCCTTGGGTAATACATCCCAGCTTCCTTTCTGCTTCCTCTCTGCTAGGCTCCTGCAGAGTAACAAAGCAGTGTGGACCTTGTGACGACACCCAGCTCGCAGCCTTGGGCGCCACCTCTGTAACGCCGATCAACAGGCGCGTCAATTAAATATTTCCTCCACTTTCCACAAAACAGAATTTAAATGACCTTTCTTTGTGTTGCACCTTTACAAAGAGATCGCAGATTTAATCTGTCAGTGTGAAAGTGTGAAAGTGTGACATACAGACACTAGAATGTGTGTCTAATTATGAGTGTGTCTCATGGAAGCAGGTCACCTTCAGCAGCAAACTCTGCCTTTAAAATAACACACACTGCTGGCTGTTACTAATGTGCTGTGCGTTCATGGCACTGGTATTTCTGACTTTCATGCCAGTTGGAAATGGATTGCACTGCAATTTGTGAAACTATGAAAACATTCTGGTGCATATATATGTATCTGTATGATATATATAAAGTGTTTTTGTGATGTGCCAGTGACCCTGACCAAGATAAAAGGTTAGAAGACAGATTGATGGATGCATGGATGGATGGATGGAGTATGTGTTGAGTGTGTGTGTTTAATTCAAAGAATGTGCTTTAAAAAGAAGTGTTTGATTATTCTTGAATTATACAGGTAATTTAAATAAGAAAAGGTAATTTTACAAGAAAATCGCCTTTTTAGAGTTTGAACGTACCTGTAAAATGTCTGTAATTTCTTATACTGATCTTGGTTTCATTGCCTCCCGGAGACCTCCCTTCTTCCCATCTTCCCTTCTTCCCTTCTTCCCCTCTTCTCCTGCCTCATCATTCACTTTGAGCGAATGCACAGAAACCTGTTATGGAGGATAAAAAAAAATGATGAAAAAGCTGCCGTGCTAAAGTGACAGGAAGGAGAAGATGCCACGTCTCCGAGTTACGCCACGGTAATGGGGGCGTCATTCTCTATTATTTTTTATTAGCATGAACATACAGGGGGGGTGGGGAGGGTTGGGGGTGGCACCTGAAAGGCAGTGAGCTGAACCGCATGCATAGGACTCTGAAAGCTCTTACTGGAAGACAGCACCCTCCTACAAATAATCCCCCACCTCGCCAATCTCACAGCACAGCGTGCCGTCTGCGGTGGCAGGGGGGTTCTGGGGGGGGACATGACAACATGTGGCTCCCCTAAATACGTATACTACTTGAGTCTGAAATCAATTAATTATTACATTATATTACATATGTGGGCTACAATTCTGTGGGCTGGGAACAGGCGAAACACAAACTTAAGCACATTTTCCTGAGGGACCCTGGGTGCGCTGGGTGGTCCAGTCACATCAGTTGGTGAAAAGCGAGTTTAACGACAGAAAAAAAACTATCGAGCTTGAGGAAGCAAGACAGTCTAAACATGAAATCAGTGAGTCAAATATTTATAAAAAACTGTAAAATGTAACTGCAAAGCCTTGCATAAATAACTTATCAGTGTTCAAAATAGTCTTCTGCTTCTTAGTGCTGGTAATCTAGTGTAAGTAATACTTGGAGGGCATTAAGATCAAATGCATCTGGCCCCCTAACAGAACATCAGGCCCCAGTTTGCTCCC